GTCCCCCCCCCCCCCCCCCCCCCCTTTCTTTTCAGCCAATGACAAAAAATATTGATGGATTTTTGCCAATACAGAAGGAAAATGTATCTGTTGCAAGGCAGCCCAAATTTTCATTAGCTTAACACAAACACAGCAGCTTTGGAAAAGGAAGGGGGGGGAACCCTCGAAGTCTCTCACTTGCAATAAAAGCCTTCTACATTTTAATTAGAAAAACAAGATTAAAACACAGAGCTCCTTATTACATTAATATGGTTTCATTCTTACTAATGAAGTATCCCAAGCCTAGGCAATTTTTTTTTATTCTATGCAAAGAGGTCACTTCTGGTTTATTTCCCTAATCCTCACATATAAAGTGGTTCTGTTTGTTTTTCTAAACCTTAAAGTCCCAGTAACTCACACTCCAATATTCCTTCATTAAGTACAAGGACAAGTTTTGTTGCTATAGAAACAGGAAGTCTGCATTAGATAGGTAAGGCTTTGGCATTTCAATTGCATCGCTTAGGTTAGTATCAGATTAAAAAAAAAAATAACCAAGAGGAGAGCAACTTTTATATGAAGTCAGAAAGAGGTGTCCAAATAATAAAATTATATTTTATTAAGTCACTGGTGCATAGTATGTAACTCCATACACAGTAGTTATACATTGTATAGAAAGGAAAAAACTTCAGAGATTATTTAAGCATCTATTTTCTTCTCTGGATTATCACATGCGTATGACCAATTTTTGCCCTTTTTCTCTAAAAATATTGAAGAACACAAAATAAAATCCCTTCCATAGCTGGGTGAGCATGACTTTCAAGTGACATCAGCAGGCGCTCCATGTATATGAAATAACACATCTCTGTCGAAATGTTCTACTTATTAGGACAGCCTACTGACTTTCCAACATCTCTCACATCAATTTTATATGATAAAAGATTCAGCATTGCAGTTTTTAGCAAGCATTTAGCAGTCAACCTTTTCCCACCTCTGCCAGCAAAGCCACCCACCGCAGCACCTCTGCTCCAGCCCTAGGAAAGGCACCCTGCACCCTGCTGATGCTCCCACCGGGGCCACGATGCACCCAGGCACAAAGCCTCTGTGGCCACAACAATTTCCACCCAGTTCATGTGATAAATTACCGACTTGCTTGAAATTACTGCAAGGCAGAGATCAGCTTTATCCAGCAAGAAAGCTCCAGCTGCACCACTCAGTGAAAAGGTTTCCACCTCAACTACTTTGTGGAGCATGGAGAATGAGGAAACCCTGTCATACACACAAATCATGGAAATTACCATCAGTACCAAAAACTCCTGGATACGTCTGTTTGCTCCACTTGGAAAATTTTGTGTGGGCAAGACGACAGGCATGGAAAGCATTTTGCTTCCTTGCCTAGTATTTCTACTCTAAGCAGCACAGTCAGAGCAGTAGATCCAACTCAGCTGCCTAATTTCCGCAAGTCCCAGCCAAACGATCACATGGGCAAGTTGAAGCCTGTACACAAAGCAGTCCTGCAGTACTCAGGTGGTAAAATCAGCCATGCCCAAGACACTTGGGACAGACTTTCCCACCGTTGTTACAGTGGACATGACAAGCGCAGAAGAGGGACCCAGTCAATCCCTGTGGCAGAACTGCTCCGCACACGCTGTAAGGACAACCCAGCCTGAAGGCAATCGCCTCACCACATGTGTGGTGCAGACGCGGGTGCCGCAGGCATCACAGACACGAGACACTGAATGCATGAGACATTGCACAACACATGCCTCTGGCTGGGAAATGCAAAAATAAAGTGTAGAAATCCTCTTTTCAGACCCTATGCTGTATGTCCTTCCACTACAGAAGTGACCAAGTCAACATTCACCAGCCTCACAGCCCTCAAACCTGCCACAGGGCAAGCCGGTGTGAACTATGCCCCTTCTTAGAAGGGATTCAAGCATTTTGGGGGGTTGTTTACTGCACTCAAAGTAACCCCACTAGTAACATGCTGGATGTGCAGAGACACGTTCTGGCAGGGAAGGAACAGCACTGGGGTCAGATACGTTACTCCACGAGTCTGCATGCAGTGATTTGTACCAGAAGTATTAAAACAGGTGATGAACAAAGGCAGAGTAAAAGTTGGGGGCGGGGGGCGGTGTGTGAGTGTATGCATGTGTGAGAGCCAGTGAGCAGGCACCAGAAGGATGGGCAGAGCATGGGTTAAAGGAATGGCACATGCCCATTGTGCCAATTGCATGCTACCCGTAATTTCATTCAAGTAACAAAAGGAGGAGGAACAACCTGACCTACAGACAAAATATCAAGAAGATGAAGAACAGGATTGGAGTCATAAAATATCAAGACTATGAGAAAAAAGAAGAGAACAAAAAATCATTAAATTTGCCTGAGAATTATGAGGGTTGAAAAAAACCAATAAAGCAAAAAATTGTAAACATCATCAACTCCTGAAGGGTATGAAAAGCAACCCCAAACTGGTTTGTTGTTGCCTGCCAAGAACAACCTCAGGGGTGTGATGAACATGCAGCAGCCACTGCCTCTTGTCCTCTGTGTCACACAAGTGACCCTGGCCAGACCACATGGATGTACGCCTTGGTACTTGTGAGTGCACAGGTGTGAGAGCATGCGTGAATGAAATCCATGAGAGAATGAGTGTGGTTGTGCAAAATCTGCCTACTTAGAGACTTTGGGGCGGGGATAACAACTTTGTCCTTCTATATAGTCTGTCACTGAGTTATTTAGAAATCCCACAGGAAATATTTTCAAATATTAACCAAGGGATTAAGAACCATAGCAGCTATATTGGCTGTTCCTAGTGACAAAGGCCAAGCTCAAGAAAAGGACTTTCAAACCAATATTTCTGGTATACTAAGAGGACAGATTTCAGAGCAGCTCCCCCACTATTTCATACATTGTCCTTTTTGCTTACCCCTAGCATTGCAGCAATGGCCCTACTTGACCCCTAAGAGGGCCACATGCACCCCTAGGATGTGTTAGTGAAACTTCCCAGGTACATGCTGAGGGAAATGCCCCTGCTGAGGAGGGCTCTGTCCCTGACGCTTCCCACACTTGCCTCTTGAGGCAGCCTCAGAGACGTCCTAGGCTGGCTTCCCTCTCTGGTGTGCTCCCCCCGAGCCGGGGCAGCCCTTGGGCTTCAGAGGAGTTGGGTTTCATGATGGATGCTGGCCTGAGAAAAGCTGCCTCAGATACCGATTGACCTACAGGGCTTTGAGCTTGGTCAGACTTTCTAACCATCTAGCTTTAACAAGCAGGTTGTCAGGGTACACTCTTGCACCTTAGGTGAATACAGAGTCCAACACAGGTTTCAAACCTGCAGCATTTTTCAAACATGTCTAAAAAGCACTATAAGTATTTTTTAGGATCAGGAAAACTATGGGCTGAAGGCAACACTGTCACTTGCAAGTCCTCATTTGATCCACATTGCATGCTATGTGACAACAGCAGCAAGTTTTGAGTTTGTTCTTGACAGAACAAAACAAACAAGCAACTGAAAATGAGAAGTTCATTGTTATTTCATAGGAGCCAACCCAGAACACACCACCGGCATCAGATCCGGTAAGATCTCCCAAGCAGGTTTTGGAATACTGAAATTACTTTTCTTTAAACGGGATTCATTTTCTCTCCCTCACTCCCCCCGTGTTCCCCCTGCCTAGTCCTTTGGGGCTTGTGTTAGAAAGAAGGGAAAGCCTGAAC